TCCTCCTCCTCCTCCTCCTCCTCCTCCTCCTCCTCCTCCCCCCCTGCCCTCGGTTGGCCCTTCGAGGAGAAGCTGCAGGCTGCTCTGGAGCGCAAGAAGAAGGGCCGAGGTCAGTGGCATCCTCACCTCGAGGCGCGTGTTTCGCTGGGGGGAGGGGCGAACGACGAGCATGAGCGGGTGAAACTTGCTTGTTCCGCACACTTCGAGTAGGGGGTCTACTACGGAATTGTTTTACCTCAGAATTGGTTTTCGCGTCGAATCTATGCACAAACTCGTATAATGTTCGCAGACCTACGAACGTTCTACGCATGTTCCATGGATTCGGTGAGAAACATCAATTCTGGGGCGAATCGTTTCTGCCGTCGATTCCCTACGCGAGCGCTGCAGAAATAATCGAGGAGGACGAGGAGGGGAAGGAGCAGCAGCTCTAGCAGTCGAGGCATCTGGCTGCGACGGGCGAGCGCGAATGCGTTCCCCTTCTGGTGCACACATGCGGTCAGGAGCCTTGGCTCCGCGTGCCGCGTCGCCGGTTCTGGCCCAACACGCTTCGGCACGGCATGCGAACCACGTCCCACTCCCCCCCGCCCTCCGCCCTCCGCCCTCCGCCCTCCGTCCTCCGCCCCCTTTCCGTTCATCCGCCCCACTCCCTCCTCTCCCTCCCACCTACCTCCTCCCCCCTCCCCCTCACCCTCCCGCCCTCCCCCCTCCCCCGCCCTCCCTCCTCCCTCCTCCCTCCTCCTTCCTCCCTCCTCCCTCCTCCTTCCCCCACGCTTCCACGTCCCGAGCCTGTCCCGAGCCTCCCGCCCCGCGGAGCGGAGCGGCGCGCTTTTTCCGCTCGCAGGGCATGGCGAGTCGCTGTGGCCGCCGCCGCGACGCGCCGAGCGAGAGAGTTGCCGACCGTCAGCTGGTCAGCACGGCATGCAGGTATGCTCGCAGGCGATTTCTCTCCCCCAATCCCCGACTTCCGCCAGAAAAGTTTGGTCGCTCAGAAAAGGGGAGGAATCTTGGGATACATCCCGAGGGGGCTATTCGGACGCACCCCTGTCGAGGATGGACGCCCCCCCCTCGTATATCCCGGGGTTGGGCCCCAAATTGTTGATCCTCTCGAAAACCTCACGGAGCCTGGGATAGGGGTCGACGCATCCCCTGTTATATGCGCGACCCCTTTGCGTAGCGCATGGCCTTCGGCCAGCGCGCACACGGTGGTGTTCCGCAGAGGCCGCTGGGGTGTTGGCTGGTCGTTAGCATCGCTGGCGCTCGCTGTCCGACGGATCACGCCGTTTGGCGGTATCTTGTGCTCGGGCTTCCGCGCCCCAACAGGTGGCGCTGGCTGTACGTTGACGAACGAACAGCACACACCCATACCCATTGGGGGGGGTCGCTGGGAGGAGGACTGGCTATGGGTATGGGTGCGGGTTGTCGGACCCTGGGGAACGCTCCCGTTCGAGCGGGGACCCCCATCCGACAGCACGCACCCATAGCCCTCTCCGACCCCCCTATGGGTATGGTTGTGTGTTGTTGGTTCGTCAGTACGTTGGGTAGTGTCCCAGCCAGGGCCGTGGCAAGCGCCGCGCGCTTCCACGTGCAGCCCAGGGGTGGAAGATCCACCCTCCTAAAAACAATCAAGGCCAGATGGAGAAACCGCGCGTGCGGGAAACAACGTTGAGCATCACGCGCTGAATTGCATGCCGAGGCAAATCGGCGCCTCTCTCTCTCTCTCCCTCCTAGGCGGACCATTTCTACGCATCCCCGCAGAGCTCCCAAGCGCAAGCCTAATGAAGAAGAACATGAGGCGTAGAAGACGAAGTGCTGCTGTAAATGTACCGTGCACGACTGCACATCACTACTGCTCCCTTGCTCTCCAACGTTGCTGGAAGTTGCGAGAGAGGAAGAACAGCCAGGCTAGATGGACCATCCGAGTCTTGAGCTCACTCCACACGCTACGTCGAAAACCAGCCTGGGGCTTCGACATGCCTGATTCGCGAGGTAGCGTGGAGACGAGACAAGCAGAGGTGGTAACAAGCAGGCCATTCCCAGCAGGCTATCAGGCGTTCCGCCTCCCAGATGCGAGAGCGGGAAGAAAGGGATAAGAAGAGGCGACGCTTGTATCATTCCAGGCAGACACCAGATGCAGCGTATGAATCTTAGTCTAAGACTCATACGCTGCATCTGGTGTCTGCCTGGAATTTTCTAGCCAGTTGAGCTGCAGTAAAAGCGATGCTATCATCATTGAATGGAGATGTGGTTAGCTGATCTGAGCAGAGCGGAACAGAGTACTATAATAGAGCAGCTTAGGAGGAGGGTAGTGTAGAGTACAATGCAGTCGAGTAAAATAGGGTAGGCTCGAGTAGATGATGTTGTCGCCGTCAGTTCTGCTTGCTTCGATTTGGAGTAATTGCCATCAGATGTGTAAAGTATCGTGCCCTTTCCCTGCCCATGCCAACACATGATGCATCTCGCACAGCTGACCTTGTTCATGTGGCCCTGTAGGTCGATTTCGTAACGAAGCACACCACATATATGTTGAGTAGGCGGCTTGGATTGCGAGGGTCGGTTGAAGAGGCTCCAGTTGGGCGATTTCTTTCAATTGTTGCAAACAGTGTTAGACATAAGTGCGGCGACGCGGTCATCGTTGACATTTCGTTCAGATCGTTGCAAATGGGATTGGTTGCAGTCATGATGTGCGCTTCGAGCACGGCACAGCTCACGCACCGCTTTGGAGTGTGATGAGTGCTGGAGCTGTTGCCGAGGCATTCAGCAGCTAAGATACGGTGGACGATCCGTTGGGCAATGGAATGTACAGCAATGCATCTCAAGTGGGCACGGCGACCCTCACACGTCGCGAGTGCTTGGGAGAAGTCATGGTACAGTGCCGTTTTTAATGCACGCTCCGCGTGCGGATCATGTGTTAAAAATGCACGGTTTAGTATGAACAAACAGCGATGAGTTCATGCATACATTGATTCATACATTAGCCATGTATTAAAAATCCGATATATGTAAAAATGTACAATCGGGGCCCTTAAGAAGGAACCCTTTCCGTTGGGTAGGGGCTCCGTGTTCCGTAAGTGTTTCACAGCTTGCCTCAGGTGCTCCTTATGTTTTCGATCGGAAAACGAAGTTTAACTTCTGGACAAAAAGGGGCCTCGTTCCTTATTTAGGGTTCCTTAGGTCAACGCCCCGACTGTATTAAAAACTGCCTTGTAACCACCGTGACGGCTCTGTGGCCGGTGCCGCCGACCCTGACGGGGGACGCGCGGCCACTCCAGGGTTGAGGAGGCGGAGGAACGGGAGGACGAGGAGGGGGAGGGGGAGGAGGAAAAAGAGGAGGAGGACGAGGAGGATGAGGAGGAGGAGGAGCAGGAGGAAGAAGAGCAGGAGGAGGAGGAGGAGCAGGAGGAGGAGGAGTAGGAGGAGGAGGAGGAAGAGCAGGAGGAGGAGGAGCAGGAGGAGGGGGAGGGGGAAGAGGATGACGACGACGACGACGCTCGCGAGCCCTCGTGGGCGCCCTTGTGGGCCCTGTTGGCCCCTGGCCGCCCCCCGGACCCCCTCTGGGACCGCCCCCATCAGGGAGCCAGAGACGGGGGTAACAGCAGACGGGGTAACAGGAAACGGCGGGTTCGAGGCATCAAATGGCCCTTTGTTGCAAAACGGTTTGTTTGTTTGTTTTCGCGTTCGATGCAGCACCTTCCACATGCTGGCTGCGTTGCACATTTCCGGCTGCTGCACTGCAACCTTTTCTTTTGGGCCCTCTGTTACCCGGTCTGTGGGGCTGGTTTGCCCCAAGCGAGCCCCTCCCCCCTCGAGCAGAGGGGCCCCGCAGGCCTCAAGGCCCCGCTGTGCTCACGGAGCTGTGGACGCCTTCTCCGCATAGTCAAGGGCGCCCTCGAGGGTGCGAAGTTACTCGCGCTTCGCGCTTCGGCTCCGATTCCTCTTCCTCCTCCTCCCCCCTGGGAGGCGGCGGGAGAGCGCGAAATTGTTCGCACTTCGCGCTTCGCGCTGCGCGAAGCGCGAAGTTGGGAGCCCTTGGAGCTGTGGACGCCTTCTCCGCACAGTCCTGCACAGTCCCCTGGCGGGGATGGGATCAGGGGCCCTCGCGTCGTCGACTCGACTGGTGTTGCCCCTCCTGCATGCGGCTCCGTGGGGCTCTCCTTGGCGTTCTTGGGAGGAGGAGGAGGAGGAGGAGGAGGAGGAGGAGGAGGACCCTGGGGACCTCCCCCAGCGGGGGCGGTCGGGGGAGGTGGCCCCCGGGTCCACCACCGGGACCCCCCCGGGCCGCCCCCCCCCGGCGCGGGGAAGGGATCAGAAGGAAGAGTGGTTCGATTACCACGTTGGTCGATGTCCGTCTGGCTGGGTCGCTTGTGGAGGGGGGCCCAGGGAAAGGGGGAGAGACTCAAGCATAGCAACGTAGCACACACACACACACACCGACAGAGTCGGCGGGTTCTGAACGTATCGATTGATTTTTGAGTGGTTTGAGGGTATGTCATCTCTTGTCGTTGTCATCACAGCCGCCAGCGACTGCGCCGAGGTCTAAGACCACCTGGCAGCTCATCGAATAGGATGATATCCGTTGGGATTGCAGGTTTGCCTGACTTCTTTGGATATGGTCGAGCGGCCTGCCGAAACCTTCATATCACTATTGATATTCACTGCTGGGAGAAGAGTTCTAGTAATGTCCGAATTTTGATGTTGGACCGGATGAGCTCATCTGGCGGTTGAGGCTCTTGAAGTCGGCCATTCTTGCAGTCTTGTTGGAGTGAGTTTGTTGCTCATTGCTCTACCACTGTTGCCACTCATTTCGAATTCGGTACCCGCGGGCAGTTTGTTTGCCCGCATGACCAACACATCTGGGTTATCCAGCTACCTTCGGCAATCCCCGCCACTGCTCCAGGGCAGCCTTGGTAGAACCATCTTGGGATTGCTTGTGAAGTAGCGCTACGGTGTTGCAGTGTTACGTGGCCGTTTTTTGCACGGTTGTTGTGTTGTTGGCCTGGGGGGCCCTTGGAGTCGCATTGGATGACTGGTCGGGGCGTCTAGGTGGCCTCTTGGGCCCCTCCCGAGTGTCTCTTCTTGGGGCCGTCTTTGGCGCAACGGGGCCGTGGTCTTGCACGGCTGTTGTGCAGTTGGTGGTGGGGGGGGGGTCTTGGAGTCGCATTGGGTGATTGGTCGCCCTCTCGCGTGTCTGTTCTTGGCGCACTCTTTGGCGCCACGGGGCATCCGGCTTAATCCCGCTTAATCCCGCTTAATCCGGCTTAATCCTGCTTAGTCCGAGGTCTTCATCCTCTTCAATCTTTCCGACGACCTCCCGGTAGTTGCCTCCTAAGGGGGGGGGATATCATGGCCAGGGCCACGACATCTCCCAGATGTCGTGGCCCCTGGGCCGCGCGCATGCCGCCGGCCACGATTTCCGCCCTCCGCTCTGTTGGACGCCCTCGTGAGGAGGATAATGATGATGATGATGATGATGATGAGGAGGAGGAGGAGGAGGAGGAGGAGGAGGAGGAGGAGGAGGAGGAGGAGGAGGAGGAGGAATAAGAGGGGAGAAGGAGAAGGAGGAAGGAGGAGGAGGGAGGATGAGGAGGAGGAGGAGGAGGAGGAGGAGGAAGAGGAGGAGAAGGAGGAGGAGGAGGAGTAGGAGGGAGGATGATGTAGGAGGAGGAGGAGGAGGAGGAGGAGGAGGAGGAGGAGTTGGAGGGTGAAGATGGGGAGGGGGAGGGGGACCCCTCTCGGCCGCCCCCGATCGTGGGGCTGTCGTGAGCCGTCTTGGTGGCCTCTGGGGCGGCCCTGCAGCCTCAGAGGCAGTCCTCAGTCTGTCCGAGGGTCGTCGTCGTCGTCGTCGTCGTCGCTTGAGGCACAACTTTGGCACGTTGCTGCTCTGCCATGCGTTCGGTCCAAAGGGCACTCGTGCAGACCTCTCTGAGAGCGTCTTGAAGGCGTCTTGCTGGGGGACTTCCGGTGCCGGAGGGTCTCTGAGCCGTCTCAGGCTGGTCCTGGGGCATCGTGCGGCCGTGTTCTGTCGGCCTCCAACATGTCTTGGGGATGGGAAGAAGGCCAGGACAAACGAGAGGGGGCGGATTCCTGAACGGATGCGCGGTGAGGGGGGCGTCCGTTTGGGCGTTCTCAGAGCCGAGCCTAAACACTCGAATTGTACGCAATTACATGCACTCACATACGATGGTACGACCCTGCATGAGACTGTCCTTCGGTTCTCTGAGAGGACTCCTCATCCCCATCGTCGTCCTGGTGATTACGAAGGCCCTCCTGTCTCCTTCTCACCCTTCTCCTTCTCGTCCTCCTCCTCTTCCTCCTACCTCCTCCTCCTCTCCCCACTGCTCGGCGTGACGACCGGTGCAAGTTCTGGATGACCTCCTCGGATGATAAAATCACGGAAGGGGGGTCCCTAGGAGGGGGTTCCCGCTCGATATGCCTTCGCAGTTAATTCATAGACGAGGCGTCTGCTAAGGACTTCCTCCACATGCAGGCCTCAGGAGGTCAGGACGTGCCGACAGTTGCCAGCTCTGGATGCCGCCCTCGACTTTTTTAATACATCTATATATATATATATATGTGTTGATACCAACATGAAGCGGGGCCACATGTAGGGAAGGGGCTCCCGCTCAAGACGTCCTCGCAGTTCACTCACAGACGAGGCTCCCGCTCGAGACCATCTTCAGATTGAGGCCTGGGGTACGCCGCAGTGACGACGCATACAGGCTCTTGATGACCCTCTTCGGATGCTGCTTATACGTCTATGTAATCATATATATATATGTAAGCATACGTACATGTGCGTATACATATATATATATATATATGTACATATATATATATGCATCTGCATGTATCGATGTGAAGCGGGGTCCCATAGTGTCGTCGTAATTCACAGGCGAGGCTCCCGCTCAGGACTTCCGAGCCCCAAGGTGATGGCAGCTACAGATGTCCTGGATGATCACCTATAGGGCTGGGAAAACACCAGGTGTCGATGAGGACTTCCCTGCTCCAAGGTGGGTGATCACCTCTGAAGCTACGACGAGGACTTCCTAGCCCGAAGGTGGATGACCACCTCAGTTCTTGTTTTGCTGCAAATAACAACATGAAGCGGGGGGCCCATGGGGAAGGGCTCCCGCTCGACACGTCCTCGCAGTCCACTCACTCACGAGGCTATCGTGTGTGCCAGGGGGTGCAGATGGTGATGGTCATGGTGGCGACGGGGATGATGATGACGGTGATGATGAGGATTGTGTGGTTGTGAGTGCGTGGGTGAGTGATAATGGAGAGAGGTATAGAGACATGATGCTGGCGACGACGCTCATAATGATGATACTGTTGACGACGAAAGAGGTGGTAATGATTATGTGTTTTGTGTGTGTGTGAATGTATATGCGAGGGATGTAATGCTGGTGATGAGGGTGATGTAATTATGTTGATGATGATGAGATGGTCATGGTGATGCTGGTGATGAGGGTGACGATGATCATGACGTTGCGAGTGTGCGAG